GCACGTACCCGAGTTACTTTGTACAACAAAGAATCGGCTTGGCGCATTCACCGCTGCCTGGATGGCGAGTTATCTCACACATCGCGAATGTCGATGAGGATATCAAAGCTGAAATAAGGTGTAACTCAAAAAGCAAATGACAAATGGCCCTCACTGTAGTTAAGGCATATTGCGGAGCACCAAGAGCCTTGGAACAATATATAGCCCTTAGAAAGCTTGCCGAAATCATCAGACAAACTTGAAAGTCAAAAAATAACAAATTCGAATGACCAGGGTTCAAGCCTTGGTCCGACCAACCCAAAAGAGTTATAGAAAATTAATTTAAATAAAAAATGTGTCTCACTTTTATAATTTCGGTCGCCCCCCGGAAGCGAATATCTGACATGAAATAAAAGCTGCTCATAAAAATCCATCGACTTCTTGGAGGCTTCTCAGAATAAACTGTAGATTCCTCCATTTGTTGGAAGAAACATCAAGACGCACACCACAATCTCAGTCATTTTAAAACGCCAATTATACGAGGTGTGACAATTAAGTAATGAGTCTGATTATATTGCTGCGATTGTGGTAACGCTGCGACCTTTAATTTCCTTTCCCTTCTCCCGGCATCCTTCTCCTCTGCATTGATATATTTGCCGTCGCTCTAGTTTGTTTAGTTCGCCTACTGTGTCGTGTTGAGTAAACGTGTGTTCGTGGTACACGTCACGAAAATGGAACGAAATCAAAAGCAACGCGTCGAGATAACATTTTGCGCCATACTGTTCTGCTTGATCCAGTTATTACAGGCGATGTGAGCTCGTTTTTTCAATACGATCCGGAAACCAAACGCCAAAGCTCACAGTGGTTGTCACCGCACGCCCACCGCCCGTAAAAAGCTCGAATGAGCAAGTCGAAGGTGAAAACGATGATTATTGTCTTTTTTGATAGAATTTCTTGCACCGGGGCAAACCGTAAATCAAGTACTCAAAATATTACCAAGGCGAGTCAACAGGGTTCGCCCAGACATCGCTCGTAATTGGATCCTTCAACACGACAACGCGCCGTGCCAAAGTGCCCTCAGCGAGACCCAGTGTTTGGCCTCTAAAGGGATCGCCGTGTTGCAACAACCGCCTTGTTCGCCCGATATGGCACTCTGTGACTTTTTTTTGTACCCTAGAACAAAATCGGTGGTCAAAGGAATCCATTTTGAGTTTGAGGAAAATCCAAGCTGCCGTGACGAGGGTACTCGCAGACATCCTAGTCGAAGCATTCTAGAAATGTTACGAAGCACGGAAAACGTACTGGAATCGTTGTATAGCTGCCCAAGTGGACTACTTCGAAGGGGATGGCAGAGTTGTAGAATAATTTTGAAATACACGGTTTTTATGACATCAGTCTCATTACTTTATTGTCACACCTCGTATAGTAATTTGTTTTTCATTTCACTTGCGATGTGGTGAAGGCCTGAGGCTGAATGACCGAAATCCTATGGCTATGACGATTATTAAACCACAGAGACAACCAAGACGTGTGGAATACGTGCGGCATAAATTTGATTTGTTTTGTTAAAAATATTCTATTCCAAAAAAAAAGAAAACCAAAGTATTTTATGACTGATGCCTTATAAATGCCTGCTCCTTTGAGAAACACCTAAGTGGAATTTATGTAAGAAAAATCCGCCCAATCAACAAGTAACTGCGTGTGATTGCGGCAGCTTGCCTGTCACTCTGGTAATCAGTAGCGTTGCCACTGTGTGTGGTGGCGGTAAGCTTTGTTCCTGCTGTGATGTGGCAGTATCACCACAGTCATACAATCTCAGCGAAGCCACCGGAGTTGAGTTTGAAATAAGGCTACCAGAGATGCGCCACAGGAATGCCATGCCACATCTCTGCGGTTTTCACGCTGACAATACAAGTTGCGACTGGCCATAATGTAAGAAACCACTTATATACAAATGTATAACCGTTATGTCTTTTGTTAACAGCCATTCAAGACTTGGTATCTGAGGATGCCACGTGTTTCATGTCGAGTTTGTGATAAGGCTGGGTATTCAATCCTTTTTAACTAGCAGCTGCGACAAATATTCTTGTAGTTTCGGTTAGATTGAAGTGGCTTTGGATGTTAAACATCTATACAACTGGACCCGTGTAGGCTCATTGGGATCCCAGAGTGTTTACTAGATCACTTGACTCCACTGTCCATCCACTACAATTCCTTTATAAATTTCAGTAGATATTTTTTTTCCAGAAGCAGTCATAAATTTAGTAAAAGAGAGTCCCTTTCTTGTTTTTCATCATTCTTACAGCTGATACAGCATCTCCTGAAAGTTATCACCCAACCTCGGCAGAGATTGTCCTACACCTTTTGAGAGAGTATTTTTCGAGTGACCTTTTCCAAACCCATATAGGCCATATCTGTCTAGAATCGATTGCAGATAGCAATTTGATTCTATCTTAAGAGATCTTGCTCATAAGTAAAGTCTTTGACTCTCAGTTTGCAGTGCCCCAAGAGCAAGTGGTCTGTGACTTGTCGTAGCTTAATGATAATGTGCGACGATGTGCCTTGAATGCTCTTCACGGCACATACCGCGTGCTCCTTCACCATATGTCCCTTGTAAGGAAGAGTCGACGCCTTCCTTTGGTACTGCTGGATTCAGCGTTATTACTGGTCGGAGAGCCAGTTGTGGTAAGCACATTCGGAAGTCTTCTTCCCTCTTTGGGTTCGCAAAATGTTTGCGCAGTTCATCCACTGTTTCATGGTCTCCCAACTCGAGCTCTTCTTCATACCTCAATAGTTCCTCTCACCTTGATCATGGCTTTTACTTCTTCCTTTCTTTCTGCCGCGATGTCTTCTTGTTCCTTATTACTTTAGAGTCACTGCTTGAAATCAACCTGGTCAGCCCAACCTAGCCCAAACTATAAACGCCCTGAAAGCCCGTCAGCAGTTCACCTGCACGTGCTCTTGTCATCTCATTTTCTCGAAGAAATTTTGCATATTCTCCATCTAATGACTTTAAAGTCATGAGCTTTATTCTCCATCTAATGACTTTAAAGCTCATGACTTTAAAGCACATCATTCTTCTTTACCTCAAGGGAAATGCTGTCAAATTCTGTAGCGCGTCGATAGAAGCAATAAAAATGTCGCCCAAAATCTTCCACTTATCAAGTCCAAAAATGACAAAGACCCACGATTAACCCAATAAATGATTGCTAATGATTTGGGCTTGAATGTTATGTCTTTATCGCGAATATTAAGTAATCATCTGGGATACACGAAGAATTCTGCTCGTTGGGTACCACGAATTTTGAATGAGACCCAAGAAGATGCTCGAGTGCATTTTGCTCAATTTTTCCTAAACAAATTCGAAAATGGTCAGTCTAGTAACTTGAGAAAAGTCGTTACTAGTGACGAATCTTGGTTCTATAAGTACGATCCAGAAATCAAACAGCAGTCCAAGGTATGGAACCCAACAGGAGCTGGTCCACCCGTGAAATCTAAGCAACAAAAGTCAGCAGCAAAAGTAATGATTTCAGTTGACTTCACCTTGTCTAAAATCGCAGCTGCTATTCCACTGGAGAAGAGTCAGACGGTAACTACAAAGTGATACACCGAAGAGTGCTTACCAAAAGTTATCAAAAATTTGTTGTAAAACAGGAAGAAAGAGAATTTGCGGTGATACTTTTTACATCAAGACAACGCGCCATCCTAAACTGCTGAAATAACGAATTTTATGACGATCTCTAGGATCGAAGAAATACGTCCACGGACCATACTCACCGGATATACATAGCACCCTGTAATTTCTGTTTTTTTTTTTTTCAAAAATAAAAAAAATTAAAGGAAAGGGCTTTAATATCAACGAGGAGATAATCAATGCGGTTAATGCTGAACTTGATAAGCTTAAAAGGCAAGAATTTGAAGACTGTTTTCAGAAGTGGTTCTATAGGCACATGAAATGCAATTTTGATGGGATCTTGAGACACTGCTACATAGAACTCTTCTGCATTAAACGTCTATAAAAGCAGAACTGACTTGGTTCCGCAACGTCCGAAGGTTTAATCTGTTTTAGTCACATTATCCTTCTCTTTGGTCAGTGAATGAGAAATTTACATTAAACTCAATTAGGTTTGCTTGCCTTACACATTCATGCATCAAAAGCAATTTTTAAATTAGCCTAGAACACAACTTCATTTCCACATTTAATCACTCTGTCCTATTTTCCCATGCTTCTTAGCTTATTTACCTTTTAGCTTCGCGATGCAGTCACATACGCATGTACTTGTGTGAGAATGTATGTAAATACATAATTTTCATGCCTGCATTGTCTACGCCAGCGAATTGTAATTAACTCCAGCTCCTAAAAGTAGACAATGCAAACATCAACCCAGGCTTTGTTACCTCAAACGCATGCATAAACACATACACACCCTTCGCTACGACTGTGATGCCCGTAAAACAGTTACAGGGCGAAATCAAAAAAGGGGAAAATATCCTTTTCATCCTTTGTATGCCACTTGCCTTGAAACGTTGAGTTGCGGCAACCTAAAAGCGCATAATTACGAATTTATTAGTAGAAATAGGAAGGAATTGTGGCTGTGAAAGGAGGGATACATCCTGTAGTAACAGTTATCTGGTCTCAACAATGAAAGACAAGTCGCATGTCTATTCCTTTGTGGCAAAACAAAAACAAGCACACACACACACACACACAAGAAAGAAAGGAAAGTATGCCACATTTGCGCACATGAATTGACAAAGCACGGCGCGTTCTCTTATGTCGCATTCCAAATGTTGGGGAAGGGAAGCGTACCCATGTTGTCGTCTGCTTTACAGCAAATGAATTAAAGATATACAGACCTGTACCTGCAGTTTATACTAAACCGCCTCCGAACGGCTGATGACTTACAGTTTCTCTCAGCGCCACTCACATGCTAAGCTTTTCACAGTCCTTCCTTGTGCTTTGACAGGCTATTTTTATTTAAAAAAAAAAATGGTTTATTTCTCATTTCCATTCAAGTATGAAAATAATTTTAATAATTTTCATATTTTATTATTTTTTTGATCAAAATTATTGTAAAGCTTTAAGCTCCGCAAAGCAAGAGTAATAACCAGCTTTTGGTAGCGGAGTTTTTTGCAGCCACCGATCAGTTTCCTCGTCATAAACATGGGTACTGTCTGTAAGTTGATTAGAAAAGCCACCGATAGCCCATAGGTGGTTGTTGATAGAAATACAAGCTGTACGCTCACCTCCGTTTGGTAAAGCACAGATCTACGAAAAATGTTTATATAAAAAAAGTGTATGAAATGTTTTAAAGTCCCAACCTCCGTCCATTCATTTTTTTGTGGATCGTATCGCTCCGCTGCTCTATTGTGACCGCCACCTTTTACAACAAATATGCATCCTTTATGCACGGCGGCCTAAAATGTAATCAAAAATATACATAAAAAGAATGAAAATGAGCTCATTGGGTCTACTCAAGGATTTCTATGTTTTTTAATATATAAACCAAAACAAGAGTGCAGCCTCGAAGCACTCTTTCTACGTGAAGAGTATTTTCATTAATGGAAACACGACTGCATTGATCTCCTCAATTGCCTCTTTTGATATCAACCCGTACTTACTTGCCCGGGTGTGGCACATGTTGAGTCATAAGGAGGCCTTATATGAAACCGATAGTGTCTTTGTGGTACCCCAAGGGTAAGAATTATGTAGCCGTTCCTCTGGCTTACCTTGATGAACCGAGTACTCCAGCTGATATGGAGATGACCTTGTCCCCCACGCACGTATCTCAGTTGTCAATCACTGATAATTAGGGAGGGTACTTGAAACCGCAGCTGATTAGGCTGCATGACAAGAACTTTCTGGAAGCTCGAAAATTGTGAATTCTGTCGCTTTTTTAGATAGAAAAAAATTCACCTATCTCACCTAGCTTCTAACATCTCTCAAGTCGACTAAGTATTTCGGTGTAAACCTTGATAAAACTAAACTCATCTGAGAGGTACGGGTTGAAAGTAGAGTCAGTTAAGCGCTCTAAATTTGAAATATCTGCAAAGGTCTACTGCATCAAAATTGGGACTACGACCGGTGAAGCGATTTCCGACTGAGCTCCTCTTCCAATTTCTGGTCTACACTTTGATATATTCCCAACAAAAATAAGGACCTACAATTTATTCTAATTCGCCTCTGAACGTCCGATGGAGTTCTATGAGTAGCTTTTTATTTGATGTCAGGAATACAGTTGGAGGGGTTGACATTCCCTGCCGATGAGCGACCACAATTAATATATATATATTTTTTTTTTGTTTTGATATTGTTCGAACTAGGACTCGAACTCTTCGAAATGGCGGATGCAATGCAAATCACTCGGCTGCTGTAGCCGCCAAAGTGATATATTTGTGAACGGACGGGTGTAACGTACCTGCTTACTCAGGCGCGCTGAGAAGTATTTCAAGAAACCCCCTGGAAATCATATTTGATATCAGGCCGAATTATTATAGAATCTGGTAGTTATAATAAATAGAAGCCAGTATCCCAACTGTGAGAAGTAATGACATTTCCGTAAGCTGTTACGAGGACTCGGTCTAAATGATTGGCGGGTGGATGCCGCCAACGCCTTGCTGAGCAAGACCATAGACAATTGTGTAGATATTAATATCAGTACTGGTGGATCGAAATGCAAGTTAGTCACCGAAACTGCATCCTTTTACAATAAGAAGAAATAAGAAAGCTTTAAACTTAATGGCTATAATTCCAAGTAGATGTTGGCCGCTTTAATTGAAGAATTTATTGGTTACCTGTTTAAAAGGATATTACGGGAGAACACAATGTACGACACATGGCTTCCGGGTTACACGGGTATAGAATGTAACGAAAAGACTGTCTTTAATATTTGTCTAACCATTATTGGCCTCAACAACTACATCGTGAGCTCTGCTTTCTTCAGACTGGATAAGGAAGCGGAGCGTATGAGTCTAGTAGTGAACGATGGTAAGACGAAATATCACCTGTAGTCAAACAAGTAGGTCCCACCTCGCCATTGACACACATAACATTGAAATCATCTATCTTGAGGCAAGTATAAATACCAACAACAATGTTAGCATGGAAATCCAACACCGACGAACGAAGACCAAACCCTACAAGTCGCTCAACATTTCCATTCTGCTATATGGTGCACAGGCATGGACGATGATAACATCTCCAGAGTCGGCTTTGGGAGTTTTTGAAAGTAAAAAAAGGAGCGGAAAAGATTAGTGTTAATCAGCGCGTTGGTAACAGCGAATATTTCATCCGTTGCAATGATAGGCTGTACGAGATACATGGCGACATTGGTCTTATCCAGCGAATCAAAGCACAACGGCTTAATGGTCCGCATGGATAAGAATACTCGTGCTTTGAAAGTTTTCGATGCATTACCTGCTGGTGGAAGTAGAGGCAGAGGAAAAAAGGCCTCCAGTCCGTTTGAAAGACCAGGTGGAGAAGGATCTGGCCTAGAGCAAAACAGCAAGGCGAAGGAATGAATAACGCGCTATAGACTATAATCGAGTAAGCGGTGTCTACGCCAGGAGTAGAAGAACAACAAGCCCAAAGAACATTGCGAGGTACGACGTACCACTAAATGCGGCAATGTGGACTACAGATTAGCCAAAGAAGGAATTTTACGGAGCATCTATTCATAACCTAGCTAAGATTTAATCAGCTAAATGCAGTTTATGTACAGAAGAGAATGAAACCCTGGAGTATTATCATTGCGATTACACGGTCTTGAGCCGATCGAGACGTCATATCTTCCCAACTTCAGCTGAAATGATCTACTCAACGACTTAAATGCGCTCGTCCAATATCAGCGCCTGTATTTGCAGTTTTCAACCAACCAAGTAAAGCAATATATAAGTGTCGAGTTTTGAGTTTCACTTACACCATGTAGCCAATAATAATTATTCATGCTCGCACACGAAGTCCATAGATTTGTGTTTGGATTGTATTGTTCAACAGAGTTGGAATATCTATTTCCATCGTAACCACCCATAACGAAAATGTTTCCATTCAAAGTCACTACAGCTGCTTCCCTACGTGGCGTATTCATACTACGTCCGAATCTCCAATCGCCAGCAGAAGTGAGCCTGAAAGGAAAAAAAAAAGAACTCGCATTACAACTGATCATATAGCAACAACATACAAGTGGTGATTTAACCATTATTTATGTAATTATTACACCGCTGAAGAGTTTAGAGGGTTAGCGATTAGCGGTGTAATCCGGGTGAGCAGTCACAATTGCAAAGTTGGTAATACCCCATTCCTACACTTGCATACCCAAGAAACTTGAGCAACCCTTGTACAAAATACGCTATCCACCCCTGTGGAGCCTGGGGATATGGTTAAGTAGGGGACTTTAGAGAAACCACACTGACCCATCCGTTTTAAAGGGTACACTAAAGACTTTTTGCGGCCGCGGTAGCCGAGTGGTTAGAATTGCGTACTTCCATTCGCAAGGCCAGGAATCAAGTCCTGGTACTACCAACATCCAAAATTACGGAAAATTAATTTTGTTATTGCGGTCGCCCCTCGGCAGGGAATGTCAACCCCTCTGATATGAAACAAAGCTCCTCATAACAAAAAAACATTATACTTTCGGAAGCGGGTTAGTATAAACTGTAGGTTGCTCCACTTGTTGGAAAAACAGCAAGACGCAAAACCACAAATCGGAGGAGGAGCCCAGCTGAGAACCGCTTCAGCGGTTATTAAGCACCTAAAAAAAACTTGTTTTCACCATCTGTTCACCAGTGGTGGAGGTCTCAGCTCAAGTCAGTCTGGATACATGCATTTTTTTTGCTAAATTTGTACTAATTCAGCCACATAAACGGATAGAAAAGTTGTGCGAAAGGTAGAGACCAGCTCCATTGAAAAAGAAAACAAAGCCTTGGACCTTCTAATAACATTTATGCACCTTGAATGTCTATTGGGAAGGTACCGCTAAAGAGTTGGTAGACAGTAATATCGCCGCCAACCAAGAAATGCAATGGACGATACAAAGACAGAAGAAGACAGCTCCTAGTGACTTTTCCTACTGATGGATTTGTGATAGGAGAGAAACTCCAACGCCGCGTACTTTCGTACACCACGCTGGACGAGCGGCTCGCCACAACGGAAGATATGACAACAAGCGAAAGCAAAGAGTTTGACTTTGGTACAATATCTACGTCCAGACATATCTTAGTGGACTGAGGTTGACCGACTTACTTAATTACTTTACTGGCGTAGACGAATTTATAACATTGCGCCATTCACTCCTTTTTTTCGCTGTTTGGCGCTAATTGGAGATACCAAGCAGAGCCATGTTCCTCTCTACCTGATCCTTCCTCTGCTTCCACCGGCGGGTGGACACAAAAAAAAAAAATAATGATACCACGTGGATATCTCCTGATCGAGAGACTCGAAACCAATTCGATAATGCTACGGTAGACTGAAGACACGTCTGCAAGACGTCTAAAGACATGTCTACAGTGTCTTAGATATGCATTCTTCACTCTGTTGTTGCAGCGAAGATACGCCTCTTTACACTTCTTCTCTCTGAGTGCGCTCATCGAAGAACTCGATATAACAGAATTGTGGGAAGGCTCGAGAAAAGAGCTGATACAATGAGGATTATCGTACCGCAGTTGCCATGTATGGGAGAGATACCGAGAGTACAAGCGAGACGCATTTGCCTAGTCACCAGAAGTAATGCTCGAAAATTCTACGAAAAAATGTGACGACTTCAAGATCAGAACTTTTTCCTGTTGGAACGAGAAAATAGATCCGGTGACTGTTGTTTAGAGTATATTCAGTTGATGAAGGAAACACTTCTCAAACCTGCTTAGCTGCAATGAAAATGAAAAACCCAATCGATGATTACGACACACAAGTTCCATCACTATGAAAGCTTTCGATGTATTTGACGCTAGTGATAGCAGGGGACGAGGAATACCGTCACTCTGATGAAAGGATCAGATGGCGAAAGATACGGCTTCCCTTGGTGTCTCCAATAAGCGCTGGCTGGAAGGCTGGGAAAATGAAAATTATTGGTGTGTAGACTAAAATCCAAATTCTTCGTAACCTAAGACTTTTTTTAATTCATTCAAATACAAACATTGTGTTTCGTCAAAAGACTCTATGGTATATATTAATATGTATTTCGAGTTGCTGTAGAAATATTTGCTACATACTACCAATACTTACACCTCCATCGACATTAGGGTAATATTTCCATTCGATCCACCAATCGCGTAAATTTTGCCATCTAAAAGCGCAACACAATGTCCTTCTCGTGGGCAAATCATTGCTGGCAGCTGATTCCATGTTTTAGTTCGCAAATTCCAACTTTTAACGTTATTCAAGACTCGCTGGTCTCGTCGTCCACCGATGAAAATAAGATTATTATCATTAAGTATAACTTCGAAAAAGCTGACACCCTTAAAATCGATCTCTTTATATTTTAGCCATTCATCTGATGTTTCATTGTATCGTAACAAACATTTAGGACCACCCTAATAAAATTGTGAAAAAAAGAATTGTAAATCGTGCCATTAGGCCGGGATTAATTACAGTATTCTCCAATAAGAGATATTATTCTGATATTCAAAGAAAAATTGTATTAAAAGAGGAAGATATGCCATTAATAATGGAAGACAATATCAGCCAAATAACTATCACGGCTACCCTTACAAGAACGTAACCTTTTCATGAAATTTTCCAACGCAAAGTGGCTGCTGTATGCCCCCAATAGCTTCACGTATTCCATCTTTGATGTGTTGAATCGACGTTGGCTTGTTGACGTAAACCTTATCTCTAACGCGGTGCCAAAGGAAGAAAACGCAAGGTGTTAAATCACAAGATCTCGGTGGCCAATTGTGATCACCTCTACGAGAGACAACACGGTCCGGAAACTTTCGCATTAAAACATCGATGATTTCGTTGCTTGTGTGGCACGTAGCGTTGTCTTATGGAAAGTTAACGTTGCCCAAATGAACACCAACCAATTTCAGTCAAAGAAAAATCATTAATAAACTCTCGATAGCACAAACTCTTCACCTTAACTGTAGCTTCAGTTCCTTGTTCGAAAAAGTAAGATCCAATGATCCCGTCGGACCATAAACCGCGCCAAATAGCTACATGTCTTTCAACAATAAATCTTGGGTTTTCCGAACCCCCAGACGCGACAGTTTTGCTTATTGACGTAGCCATCGAGGTAGAAAGGGGGAGATCATCATTCCTGATGATTTTTCGATGAAATTTCGGCTCATTTTAACATATTTTAAGGGCCCAATTCGCAAAGACACGACATTGTTGATGATCAGCCTTCTTGTCTTAACTGTACTTTATAAGCCTTTATGCATAATTGATGCTTGACATTCCCTGCCAAGTTGCGATTGCAATTAGAAAATTTAACTAAATTTTTCATTTAAATTAATTTTCTATAATTGGATTTGTAGCTCGGCCTTTCGAATGGCAGTACGCAATGTTAACTACTCGGCTACCATGTCCGGGGCTATTCAAAATAACACCTCTTATTGGCAAACCCTTTATATGTATATACTTTTAGATTGATTTTAGATGATTTTCAAGCACGCATTTCCTAGGCTTCTTCCACATCAACATCTTCCAATTCAGACACGAATAAATCATGGCTCTATACTGTTCCCCCATTGACTGCAGCATTATGGCCGGCTTTAGCTTTGAAAAATATGGATCAATGATTCCCTCTACTCATAGTTTATGGATTATCATCTCTCCGAATCAGCCTAAAGTAAGCGCCATCGCTAAATAAAATTTCTTTTTGGAAGTCGCGCTCGGCAGTATTTCGGCTTCAGTTCTTACACGAGTTCGATTTTGTAAGTCAACAGACCGAGATCGTTCACCGAAATTAGCGAAGTGGAGGGATGTAACTTCAATTGTTCCGGGTGATGGTAGTTAGATTCACTCGGGTCTTCTGCGATGCACTACTCCACAGTCGTCTGCGGTGCGCACACTACGGCATTTATGGATATTTGATCGACATAATCACCCAACAGAGTCGACAATTCAAGCAATCATGGATCGGTTTGGCACCACGTTTACTCTAGTATATCCACTGCTGGGTAATTACATATGTCGATCGAATATTGTACGACACGATGTTCGCGCGACCTGAGCCATTATTTCTAAATAAAGTAAAGAACAGCTGTCAAAAATACCAGTTCCGAAATAAGTATTGCCTCATTGAACGCACGTTTAGAAACCTTCCCTATATACATAGTTCATCTTCCATCCTTTCCTCTACTATTCACGACGGGTATTTTCAACATGACGATGTTTTACGAACTGTCATATGTGTGTGTGTTATAAATAACAACAAATTTACTTTTAAATTTGATACTTACGTTATCACTTCTTTCCACCGCCAAATAGGTATATGTCTCTTCAAGACTGCTACGTAAACTGTTTCTCGGTTCCTTGAATTTTAGTGATATCATTGCACGTGCCATTGGCTGAGTGGCCCAGACTATTGCTTTTAAGGCCAACGACTCACATCCTGGCAACGGCTGAATATTTGTCATTATAAAATTTACATCAAACTGTGAGAGTCGCAAGCAACCGATTAGGTCAGACAAATGACATTCACGACTCACAGCATCATGTTCATACCAACATTTAATCGCAGCAAACACATCTTCTTCACAGGTTATATTCAATTCTTCGCTCTCCAGTATTCTTTTCAGTTTTTCAATGTCAAAACTCAAAAATTCAGCTCTATTGCTTATCTACGAAAGAGAAGTGATTCGATAAAAATATACATATATGAGAGACTAAGTCTGAACATTCCTTCTCTGACCATCGCTACATTGGTATGTCAATTTTCATGAACCCAAGTTAAAACAAATCCAAGAAGGAAACCCATACTAATTGGTAGTCAAATCAGCATACTGTCATTAGCCTACTAAGCAGTCTTTCTTCTTCTTCTACAGTATAACTGGATAATTTAGTAGATCATTACACAATTTCTTGCTCAGAAACTCTAAGCAACAACATTTCCAGTGCTATGCAGTGAAGTAAGCGCAAACTCCACTGGTAGTCGACAGAAGTAGATACACTCCGAAGAAAGTCGTGCATGAAGCTCTTCAATAGGGCTAAGAGACTAGCCGTATACCTTCAGGAAATGGCAAAAAGCCAAGGGTGTTTACTAAGGAGCACTCCAAGTGCGACTTAACGAAACACGACTTGATGGTACATCAGTCGGCAGCAATAGCCATACTACGTTGAAGAGAATGAAATCAATGGATCAATTAGATATTGGGAAACTACTGAATAGATACAATTTCATATCAAGCCACACAAATCGAGGTGAAGGAAACGATCTCCTATCCCGTATCCTGATCAAACGCGTGCTGGCAGGCCGCTGTTTGATAGCACGACATACGGATGAACTAGAGAATCCGTAAAGAAGTTGCTTCGAAAGCTGCAAAGCATGAGGTGGAGGGAACAAACAGTATTTGAGCAGTGCTGGGTCTTGGATTTTTCGAACCTCAATGTTGGATGGTCTATCGGAGAAAGCGATATCGAAATCATGAGCCTAAAGAGATTCATTATAGAAACGAAATGGTTGGATAGCAATGTTTTTGTGGCATAACATTGTGCCATATTCAGGTTCTTTGCCTACCAATTTTGGATGAGTTTTGTTGAATTAAATCATAAATATTCGATCAGGCGACGATTCGAAAATGCAACATCCATATTCAGATTTGGGGTGTAATGGGCTGTAGTCATGCTCCTGGGTATGCAGTTACGCAACGCAACTGCAAACGTGAGCAACCCTTGTGCAAGGTACGGTAACCCACCGTGTGTGGCCTTGAATTTTGGCCAAAAGAGAGACATCTTTTGTGGAGCTACTAGTTTAAATCCGTTAAGATTGCGCTAGAGTCTGATTGCTGTGAGAATTGGTACACCAAGAGCCGTATTCCCCAATCGGTAACTATGGAATCTTTCTCGCATTTCTCGACTATGTTGATGTGAAGTTGGAATAGCAATTGCCCAGTTGAAAGCAAACAAAGTGGTGGAGGCAGACGGCTTATCGACTAAGTTATCAAGCATGACGCTGAAGAACCGGCAAGGTGCATGCATCAACTTCTTTACAGAATATGGTCGAGCGAAAGCATTTGCGATTATTGGAACATAACTTGGCTCCGCCTTATTGACAAAAAGAGTGGAACTGTGGGTAGCAATCGCGTCAATTATCGCTAAATAAGCGTCTATCGCGCATATTGTGGGTAAAATTAAAGCCCATCGTCAAAAAGACGAAGAAAATCTACAATGGGTGGCCGTGTTAGACGAGTGGTTAGCATTGCGTACTGCCGTTCGAAAGACCAGAGTTCGAGTCCTTTTCCGACAGACATCCAAAAATTATAAAAAAAATTAATTTAAATAAAAAAGTTACTTTTTCGAATTGTATTTGCTCCTCGGCAGCGAATGTCAACGCCTCCGAGTGTATTTATGAAAAACCATCAGCCATTCGGAGGCGACTCAGAGAAAACTTTGGGCTCCTCCATTTAAAAAAAAAACCACAAGACGCACATCAGGAGTAGATCGGCCGAAAATCGATTCAGCGGTTACAAAGCGCCAATTTTAAAGAATTCTGGAAAAGAACCTGTGAAAGCGGATCGAGACACATTAACTCTTCGACGATTTTAAAGCAGCTTTCGATGGCATACAAATGGACTGCCTCTACACCAACGTGTCCGAATTGTTGTTAAATAACACCAGAAGCTCCGTCAGAATCACTGAGGACCTTTCAGAGCTGTTCGGTAAAAAACGAGACTACAATGAATAAACACCCTTTTCTGAAATTCCTATAACCGTTAGTCCACACCACTCACCTCCATAAAATGCCGTATTTCATATTCGTGGATTTTCTGTCGCAGATGTTCACACTGAGTCTCACGCTGGAGGGAGTATGCCCACTCCAATGTATATACCGTTATATTTTCAAAAATATAATCCATGCAATCGGCGACAGCATCATCCAATTGTAGAATAACGCTCGCCTTTAGCATTTCAGCGACATTTTCATGGGTTATCAGTGTCCTGCCGGTGTAACAAAAAGCGATCAGGCGTTCGAAAGTATCGCTATTAATTTCATTTATTTCAATTATAGGTGATGTATCTTGATCGCGGCTAAAGAGCTTCTGGAAGTAGCCACTGGTGGCTGATAATATTAAACGGTGAGCCGGAATCCTAAGGAGGGAGCGTATATGGAAATTCATGAGCTGATTATGAGACGTTATGAGACTTTTTAATTAATCCTACTTTTTTTTTAAACAATTAAATATACATAAATATGTATGCACTTACAAAACTGTTGGATTAAAAGCCTTAAATGTCACATCCACTAATTTCTGCTCATCATAAAGTTGTTGTATCCTGCCCAAGAGTTGTGTTGCGAAATTGGAGCCATCCCGTACAGGGGTTGACGATGCAATACCGCTTGCCATTTTTATTTAGATGAATTTTCGAAATAAATTTAAAAGTTGAAAATCGTAACGGCTGAAAATATGAGAAACTCTTTAAAATTGCAAAGAAATACGAAATCCAGTGCTGTACAACCAAATATGTATGTAAGTGGTTTGAGTTATTCTAATATTATTTGGTTTCCTCCCCTTATTCACGGGCATAGACTCTGCTAACCCGATTATAGCCGAGCTAGCGACAGCGGGCTATTCATTCCTTCTTGTCGCTGTTTCACGTCAATTGGGAATACCCAAGTACAGTCCGGTTCTTCTGGACTTCGTCTTTCCAATGGAGTGGAGGTCTTCCGAGTCCTTTGGCGACTAGAGGAAAATTAGTCTTATGCGAAATCGTTCTCTCAAAAACTCTCAACGACGAGCGAGATGTTGCCATCGTCCATAGCTCCACACCATATAGGAAAACAGTAATGATGAGCTACTTGCAGAGTTTTAATTGAGAATATGTCAGACTGGTTCCACTGAAGCTTCCTTTCTTTTAGCAGTGAGCCAAGGCTCGACACCGGTTGGTTACCACGTTCTGCAGAAGTATTGGTCATGTTTTCAGGATGCGCGACGTGGATACAAGCCCCACGACTGTAACGGCGTACTCAGCAGCTTGACCACACGCCATTTTTTCTATTTCTTTTTTTTTTTTTGTGGTCGCCGAGTACTGGCAATCATCCCCGTGGCGGGACGTCAAGACGCAATGCAAATTTTTTCTAGTTATCGCTGATTTGCTCTCACATTGTTATGGAAGAGAAGGACGATATGACCAACGACACACTTGTTTTCTGAGAGCTCATATCACCATCTCCGATATAAGTCACCGCAAACTCGCTGCGTACCGTCACCATAAAAACAATTGATTTTCTGCAATGTCATAAAAAGAGTTGTTTCGTTGAAGATTGTCGCACTGCAGTGGAGAGAAAACAGACTTCGGTTGTCCACACCACGTGCAAGATGGAATAGATGCCGAGTACTGAAAGGGGGAAAGAAAGATGCAGCCCAAACCGCATAGAGAAGACGTTCCAATATCCGAGACGAGGTTCGAATAGCGATAGCTTGCTTAAATAATAATACAGCGACTGGAGCGATTGGCTTACCAGCAAATCTATGTTGTGGGAGAACTGACAAGTTGCATGCCTCAGCTTCTTTGCAAAATGTGGTTAGACGAAAGCATGTCCGATGATTGGTAGGAGTTCAAGAACTTTCCCGCGGTAAGGCATGCCTGACGTAAGAGGACACTAAAATCCAATATATTCCGCGACAATCGGGTCTTTAAACCGGAAACGATCCATCCCCAACTACTTGGGGGATTTTTTTTGCGGTTATAAAAACAACAACAACAACAGCATTGTAATTTGAGTGTTGTCTGCCCAATCCACAAGCACTGCACCGCACAATCGGCATCGACCAGATATTCACCGTGCGACAAAAAAAAAAAGAATCGTGAAGAGAGGATCAGCACACACCACCTATCCCTCGATCGATATGAAAGCAGCCTTTGACAGCACGTAAATAAGCTCCCATTCGTATCCACCCCAAACTTATACGGCTTTGTAAGCTGACGTCAGGCAACACCAAAAGCTCCGTCTTGGTCGTTTAGCTCGTTTGATGGGCCAGCGCCCACGGCACGAGGTATTTCATTGCATTAATACTTCGGCGATCAAGCATTTTCTTTATCAGCCTGTACGACTTCTTTTAAGAAAATGTCCAACAACAAATTTTTTAGATATAAAAGTAATAGAACTCGATTTGCACATACCCGGACGCAGTATAAAAATATATATATTATATATAATATAAATACTTATGTATGTCTGTTAATCATTAAGATTCGTATTTTTAAAATTTGAAAAACACTTATATTTGTATTATTTAAATATTTTGTTGCCCAAACTATTGCTTCACACCACTCACATATGAGAATTCCCTCTCAAGTTCGATTTTAAATGGAATACCCTTTGAGTCTCCCACATACGTATCACTGTCTTCTGTAACGCGAATTTGTTTATATTTTGAAAATATCTTCTCCCCGGCATACATATATAGGAGTAAGTATGCGCCAGTGCTCGAATTTGTACGTTTGCAACTCGCTGGGAAAATCGTAGCAAAATAATTGTTTTCGGAGTAGATTTTTACGATCAGCTTATTATCGTGCATTTATTCCAGGTAAAAAAAAAAACAAAAGCTTTTACAAAAATATTTAAATATAATTCATAAGAGTTGATGGCAAACTAATTTTCTTGATGTGAAAATCATATATTTTTTAATAGATCGATGGCTTCGTTTGCTTGAGTGAGTCGTAGCGCCGTCCTGTTGAGATCAATACCTTCGAATTCCGGCCATAAAAAATCACTAATCATCTCTATACATTCATTTTCGAAAAAGCAAGGTCCAAAGGCCCGCCGAGCCATAAACCGCACCAAACAGTTTCACGTTGTTGTGGACGGAGTGGGTTTTCAACAATACATCTAGGGTTTCCCGAGCCCCAGATGCAACAGTTTGGTTGTTGACGTAGCCATCGAGGTGGCAATGGGACTCATCAGTCAAGATGATTTTTCGCTGAAACTTTTATAATGAATTTCAATATTTCAATGCCTTTTTGAAGCGTTATATCGTTTCAGTTTTATTATTAGTTAGTACATGAAATAAATACAGCAGTCGCAGTTATTGTTGTTGTAAGCACAAAATTTTACCCGCATTAGTTTTTGGCATAAAAATCCGGTTCGCTCCCGTATAACGACCCGACTGTTGCGGTTACTAGTGGATTTTAGTCGCCTCTTAGGACAGGCTTGCCTTACCACGGGTATATTCATTCTTGAGTCCCTAAGCCGCAGTTGGAATAAAACTGTAGGTCTCTCCATTTACTACTTCAATAGTAGTTTCAATCTTTTGCTGGCAACTAAATGAAACATTTAACATTTTCTTTGTTAATCCCATTTGGAGCCAAATGCCACTATTCGTACGCTGTAACAACCGCAAAAAGTCAATGTTTAGTGTGCTCTATAGGTCTATAGGCGCGGGGAGTCATTGGTGCGTATTTCTTCATAAATAAAGCAGGACTTTTTCGCTACTGTTAAAGTGGACGATAGTTAATTCCAAATATACGGCATTACGTGCCATACAGTCAACGAGCAATCAATTTATTGAAAGATTCTTTTAGGGAGCACATCATGCCATACTCCAAGATCATGCAAATTAACATCGCTGGACTATCTTTTTGTGGAAAGCCGCTTATCTACGCAAATAAACCCCAGGCGATTGACGCCTTGGAAGAGAATATTCGTTGCGTTGTTGCTGAGATACGGCCCAAATCGTTGCAAAAAGTGGTCGAAATTTGAGTCTTTCGGCTGCAAACTATTTTCTTTATAAAAAAGCTAAATTCTTGATTATAAAAAAGCTCAATTTTCTAATAGCGGTCGCCTCTCGGCAGGGAATGTGTATTTCGGACAGGAAATAAAGGTAAATAAAGGGTCTTCATAAATAAAAAAAAACCATCCGCCGTTCAGAGATGGCTTTGTATAAACTGTAGGTCCCTCCATTTGTTGGAAAAACATTTAGAGGCAAAACAAGCAATTGGAAGAGGAGCTCGGCGGAAAATCGCCAATTATATATTGACCATAAAAATAAATTATATGCGTTTTATTTCTTCTTGAAAACCCACATGGCTAAAGAAATATTCTTTACTCTTGTAATGTTGTGAATTTATATTTACCTTTCGGAGGAAGACTAAAAGTGTAGCAATAAGCCATTCAAGTTGACTCAAAACTGCAGTAAAGTCTCAGCACTGGCCTTATATTTATGTATGTATACACGAACCCGAGGCAGGCATCAACAAAGAAAGTGTCTAATGGCTCAGTTATGCAGACAGTTGATCGTAGATCTCAAATATTACGCTAATGTTTAAGATATATTTTAACTTTATATGGTGTTCTGAAAATATAAGAAAACAGATGATTTTGAAGCTGAGGAGTAGTATGAAATCGTTAAAATAAATTCACGTTACCGCTATTTACTTCAGATAAAAAAAAATTTTAAACTACTACTGTGGGCAAAAAATAAGGTGAATTTTTAATTTGAGCTTCGCTCGCTAAATATTTCGGGTTAAATCTTTTTTTTTGATGTTGGTAACACTGGTTTTGACGCCAAATTTCATGCCAACGGCATCATTGGTATTTTACTTACGCTTGTGCTTACTACGCGACTATAAGTGCCTTGGGCGATTTTTTTAAAGTCTGATTTAATTGAGCAAAGAAATGTGAACAAATTTGGTTTGTTCACGAATTTTCGGCTGTTGAAACGTTTAGGATGCTACAGAAAGCCTTTGGGGACTCAACTATGTCGCAGAAGAACGTATATAAGTGACTTCAAAGAGAGTCGGAAGCGTGATAATGACTTGAAGCGGCGAAGTCGCTCAAAAATCAAGGTCTCGTTGACTGTTTTCTTCGGTTTTCGTGATGTGATGCACTACGAATTCTTTCCGCCCAGTCTAACGGTAAATAAGGAATATTATTTAAGTGTTACGCGTCGTTTGCGTAAAACAATTCGCAAAACAAGACTAGAATTATGGGCCAACAATTCTTGGTTTTTGCATCACATTCTTATCATTCTTCGTGACCATTTCGCTAAAAAAAATCCACGAATATCGTTCCCCAACCACCATATTCGCCGGACTTAGCACTATGCGACTTCTGGTTCTTCCAAAAACTCAAGAGACCACATCGAGGACACCGTTTTGAGTCGATTAAGGAGGTTAAATGTGAATCGACGCGCTCTTTGAAAGCCATACCAGAACGTGACTTCGATAATTGGACAAAGCGTTGGCATAAGTGCATTGCATCGGCAGCAGGAAATCGTTGTAGAAGAATAAATAAAGATTTTTAATTTTACAAACAAACTCACCTTACTTTTTGCCCACAGTTATATGTACATATATTCAGTAAGTTTTATGATATACAAGAGGATAGAAGTTTGATAACTTGCCAGAAAAAAAATTATTTTTGTGTTAATCCGTATTCTTTGCCTTTTTTTCTTCTCTACATAATCGCCGTTGACTTCAATGCATTTCTTAAGTCTAACCAGAAATAACAGTGTGCTATATCCGGTGAATATGGTGCGAGGACGTATTTCTTCGATCCCAGAGATCGCAATAAAATTGCTCGTTATTTCAGCAGTGTGGGACAGGGCGTTGTCCTGATGTTAAAAGTAGTGCCGCAAATTCTCTTTCTTCCTGTTTACCAACAAATTTTTGAAACCCTTTGGTATGCACTCTTAAGTGTACCGTTTTGCAGTTACCGTCTGAACCCTTTCCAGTGACTAACTGACCATACTTTTATTAATCCCCTCGTAGTTACCCAACAACAGCACCAGAAGCACAGAGTGAGTACAAATCGCGATTTTTTTGAACACCATCAAATTCCACTTTTTACGCACATTTTAAAATTTAATTTGCCACGGCATTCTGGTATGACACCAATAATCGGAAGCTGTGTTGCCTATTAAGTTCGATGGATCAACTGTTTTGTATGGTTAAGATCAAGGCAACGCTAATTGAACCTTGAGTTGGAGCTTTGTATAACTGAGCCATTAGTGTATATATATATATTAGTGTATGTATATATCTAAGAAGTAAGTTCAAATATAGTTTTCGGTGATTCCCATTTTTACTTGCAATCACCAACTGTGGCAGTGATGGACTTTTTATGAGTTCTCCGACTGTTTTCAGTTGAATTGATATCAGGAGTTTTCGATTTAAGCGACAATAACTGCGCTAGCTACATACATATGTATGTACTATGTACATATGTATATCATATATAGTGAAGGCAGAAGTAGATAAAGTCTTCCATTACGTTGCAAAGTCCAATTTGAAAGGGCTGGTCTTGCCAAATTGCTCCAAACAGAAACAAGAGGCTCAGAAAGCAAGATATATGTATCTATTTAAACGACGGTTGTTGTTGTAACTGTGGGATGCTCAGTTCTTTGACGTATAAAAATCGACCTCTTTTCGAAGAGTAGGAGTTTAACCGATGAATCATCCAAAATTTTCCTGTACCGAAATTACTCGGGTTTCATAAGGTAGCTCCAGTTCTTCGCCTGCTATAGGTGTTGCGTACTGCTATTCTGAAGACAGGGTCTCGAATCATAGTTCGGTCAACAGCTGAAATTATAGCAAATAAATTTCTGGAACTGCAGTCGCTCCTCGTCAGAGAGTGTCAAGCTCTCCGAGCGTATTTCTGATATAAAATAAAAGCTCCTCATACAAATCTATCAATCGATCTAAAAGATTCTCCACGGTCGATGCTCCATAGGCAAACTGTTGAAAATGTTCATGGAAATAATGGAAATCGTCGAGTCTGATCGCCATGCATGCATCTGACACACAAAGAAGCGCGATCCTTATGGAGCGAGTCTCCATTTGCTAGTGGCTGCTGAATCGTAAGAAATGGGCATATTTCTGAAGCGAGTGGTGACTGACGGAAATCGTCAAACGAAAGTGATTGTGGTCGCCAAGCCATGATTGACGGCCAGGCAAGATCTTTTGTGTATTTAATGGGAATTGCGAGGAATCATCCACTATTTGCTGACCTGCTACTATGCTGCACTGTCAACAATTGGACCGTCTGTAGGAAATAAGCGCTCGGCAGCGCCAAACTTTGGCCAACAGAAGGAGTCTAGTGTTTCATCAGGACAAAACCAGAACGCACTCATCGATAGTGAACCGCTAGAAGATCCGAGAGCTTGGTTGAGAGGACCTTACGTATCCGCTTTATAGTCCGGACTTGTTGCTGTAGTTTTTATCATAGCGGTTCGCTAATCCCGCTCATGATCAGGCAAGATCAGTCTAGGTCTTCTAACGGGAGGGCCAGAAAACAAACTGTAGCGACGGGTTCGGACCAGAGGAAAATAGGTGGCAAGATCAGTTAGTTTTAGGAGGCATACAAAGAAGTGATTAGGGTCGTGCGGGGACTCATTGTATGCAGGGCATGCATAAATTGCTTGCAGGACATACATACTTACAATGCCCAGATCTAAATTGAGTCAGTAATACGTGGGACTCTCGAGGCCGCTCGAGCTCGTCGTCTGCAATAAGCGGTGGTTTGACTGCGAGAAAGCCATTCACTGGAAGAGAGTTCAGGAAGGTGTTGACGGAATGACATTCAATGCCCGTCGGTAAGCCGCCTTGTCTAGCGTTTGTTGTTAGTGGTGCAGAATGCAGTCCTTAAAGACGGGTACTCCCTTTCTGAAGTGCCTAGGTGGTTCAGCCTCTAGTAAGTGTCTGTTGTAGAAATTGCTTGCTGCGGAACACCTTGATTGTCGACCACCCAGGTTGCCCAACTTCTCTCAAATTTGTGGATTAACTTTCATATCTCGGTACTCCCTCCGTCACCGGAAGGGGTTCATTGATTTCATATAAATGATACTCCCTGCGGGTTAGAGGTTCAAGAATTTAACCGCGGTAAGGCATGCCTGTCGTAAGAGGCGACTAAAATCTAATAATTCCCGCGACAGTTGGGTCTTTATACCGGAACAACTCTAATTTTTATTCTACCAGGAACTGTCACTCCAGCAACATTCCCCAAAAACTGCTTTGAGGAATATTTTTTTGGTTAGAACAACAACAAACATCTCATATGCCGATGATCTCTTGATATTTGGCGTCAGGCCAGGATGTTGAAAGGGTCGCCCTTGTTGCAAGTGATGACCACCTGTTCCTGTCTATGGCGAATGATTTGGCTGGTGAAGAATTGGGACAAGTGTTTCTCTGAGAGAGGCATAATGAGACTAAATAAATTAATTATGGCAAATAAAGCCTTCAATTTAGTACAAATAATGGATTCCTTTTTACTAGACCGATTATCAATATGCGGCTCCACCCGAACTTGGTACTCCCTTATCGTTTTAAGCATCAGCTTTTTTATTTTTTTTTATTTTTAACATCAATTTTATTTAATTGTGAAACTCATGCTTTTAAATACATTAATTAATTTGTAAGCAGATTACAACAAATTTTGTGAACTTGAAGATGATACGTACATATACATACATACATATAATTGACTTAAACTATGTATTTGTATAATATATGCAACAGCAATAAATATATGTAAATGTAATAAATTTAAAATTTACACATAAGTTTGTGATTTCGAAAGCGAGTAAAATTCAATGTAATTAATATTTGTATGTATGTATGTCTACATTAAGTAAGCTTTCAACAAAAGAAAAGAGAATACAACTTTACACAAGTGAGCAATAAAATGCGATAAATCTCAACCATTAAAAGAAAAGCAACCTTTACTTTCGCATATAATGTTTAAGTACCTACAAAAACAAAAAATAAAAATAAGCACAAAGCACATCCATCACTTTTCTCACCTTAAACCTATGCCTACAGCGTATATACGTTTATGAACTTTATAATTTCCTTCATAATAAAAATGCAAACTTTAATCATTCTTCTGAGATACGGACTTCATAGCCGCTTGGCGTGCAAATTTTTCACGTTTCGTTGCACCATCCCCACAGCTGCCATCCACCAAATGCGCATCGCTTCTTCGCATCTGCGGTGAGCTCCCTACTGAAGATGCTGTTGAGATGCTCGATGCAGTTGATGACGCCGATGGTGACGATGGTGGTTTCGAGACACCAGCAGCCTGTATGGCACTACTGCGTCTGTGCCAATCCAAAACTGGCGAGTCATTTGCCGCAGCAACGCCACTATTCGAATTAGTGCGGCCAAACACTTTTAAAGTTGCACGATGCGCCCCAGTTGTTTGCGCTTGTAAAGCTGTTTGGTTTATATACGAACGTCGCAGTATACAACAGGTAACGATAAATGGCACAGCTATAATCACAAATAAACCCATAACAATTATGGCTATTACATCCACCAATTCGGCGCGCATGAAATTCAGCTCATTTGCATGCGATTTGAGGAAATCACCACCGCCGGCACTATTTAAAATCAATTCAATATAATGCACACTCCTTGCTATCGGTGAACCGTAGGTAGAGTTCAGCAAGCGACGCATTTCGGCAACTTGCCGGACGTAGTTGGGATGCGTAACCAATTTTTGTATATTCGACGAAAGTGCATCGTAGGTTATTGCATCGAAGGAGATCATGAGAGCAATGCCTTGCTGTTGCAAACGTCTAGCGCTTACTTCTTGTTCGGGGTAAATGGGTATGGCAAGTATTGGTGTGAGACCATTTATGGATTCAATAATACTCATAAGTCCACAGGCGCTTATGAACAACTTAACGTTGGAATGTGCTGCAGCGGATTGGAACATACATATATTGTTAAGATAAAAATTCATTAATAATGCTGGCTTATGTACATACCTAAAATGGCTTCCTGTGGCAACCAATCCGAAATCATTACATTTTTGGGTAGCGCAGTATAAAACTTTTGATCTTCCCATTTTATAATGAAGTTATAGTCCTGCATATCCAGGATGATATCCAAAATGATATCTAACTTTTCCTTTGCCAAATCCGCTGTGCGCGCATCTGCGCCGAAACTTAGGTACACAACTCCTTTTGGTGCCGACTCAATAAAATAGGCAATATGCTGCAATAGTATTTGAAATTAAATATTAAACATATCGCGTTTAGAAAAAGTAGAAGATTAAATAAAAAATACCATTTAAAAAAATAAAATAAAATAAAAAATAAATAAACTAAATAAAAAGAAAAAATTAAAAGAAAAAATTAATGAACTAAAAAAGAAAAACTAATAAAAAAAAATGTATAAATTAATATAATAAAATAAAGTAGAAAAGAATAAAGTAACAAAAATGGCTAAAATATTTAAAAAAAAAATAAGAAATCAAAGTGAAATAAAAACAATATAAAAATAAATTTAAAAAAAAATTATTTTTTTAATTAAAGTAAAGTGGTGTAAACAAAAAAATAAATAAAAGAAAGTAAAATAAAAGAAAACAAAGCCAAATAAAATGAATATGGGAAAAAGTAAAATTTAAAAAATTAAATGAAAACTTAATGAATTAAAAATTAAAAATATGAAAAATTTAATAAAATAAAATAAAAATTGAAGTAAAAAAAGTGGCTGAAAAAATAAAATAAAACAATATAAAAATAAATCAACAAATATCAATATATATTATGTATAAATATAAAAATAAATTTAAAAATATTTTTTTTTTTTAATTAAAATAAAATGAAGTAAACCAAAAATAAAGCAATGTAAAATACAATGAAAAAAACTTAAATAAATTTCAAAAAAAATTAAATGAAAACTTAATGAACTAAGAAATTAAAAATAAAGAATAATTTAATAAAATAAAATGAAATAAAAAATGGATATAAAAATTAAACTAAACAAACTAAAATTAAATTAAAAAAAAATAAAAATAAAGTAAAATAAAAAAAAATTAAAATTATAAAACAAAATAAAATATTAAAAAAATAAAATTAAATTAAATAAAACAAAATAAAAATTCATAAAAAATAAAATAAAGTGAAACAAAAAAGTAAAATAATAAGAAATTAACTTAAACATTAAATGAAAATAATATAGAATAAAAATTAATATAAATCCTGTATTAAAATTAAATAAAGCATAAAGTTAAAACAAATAAAATAAAAAGAAGTAAAATAAAATTAAATTAAATGAAACAAAATTAAATAAATAAAAAAAAATTAAACAAATAAAAAAATAAAATAAAAAATTAATGAACTAAAAAATAAAAATAAATAAAATTTTAAAAAATTCAAGTACAAATAAGAAAAGAATTAATGAAATAACAAAAAAAAAATTAAGTAAAATATGAGGGAAAAAATAAAATAAAATAAAATAAAATAAAATAAAATAAAATAAAGTAAAATAAATAAAATGAACTAAACAAAATAAAGTAGAATAAAAGAAAATTAAAAAATAAAACAAAATAAAACACTTGGAAAAAAATTAATAAAGTAAAATAAAATAAAATAAAATGAAACAAAAAAATTAAATAATAAAAAATAAACTATTAAATAAAAATAATATAGTATAAAAATTAATAAAAAAAACATGTATTAAAATAAAATAAAACATAAACCAAAAATAACTTAAATTAAAATCAATAAAAAAAATTAAAGCTAAAATAAAAAATTAAATAACATATAAAAAATTGCAACAAATCCTGATAAGGTAAAATAAAACGGAACGAAGTGAAATAATTAATAGAAAGAAACCAAACATTAAATACATAAAGAAAAAATAAGCCAAAATATCAATTAAAATTAAACTGTTTTAATGTCTTGTAATGAAAAAAAAATAAATAAATAAAGAGTATAACAAAATAAATTAAAAAAGAAAACTTAAATCAAAATTAAAATTAAAATTAGGAAAAAAGAAATACAATCATTGTAAAAATAATTTAATTGTAAAAATAATTTAATCAAATAAAATAAGAATAAAGTTTATTGAGCGAAAATAAATTTTAACACACAAAAAGAAAAGAGAAAAAAATTAATTAAAAAAAAAAAACAATACAATAAACAAAATAAAAAATTTAATTGAAATGAAATATAATGATTTTAAAAAATTAAAATAAAGAAAAATGATATAAAACAAAATAAATTTAAATTAAAATTAAATGATATAAATAAAAGAAGCAAATAATTTAAATTATTTCAAATTAAAAATTTTAATTTATGCTATGCTCATAATAATAATAAATAAAAATAAATCAAATTATTTAAAATAAAAAAGTTAAAATAATTAATTTAAACGGAACTAAATAAATGAAAAAAATCTTAATAAAAAAACAAAAAGTATTGCATTTAATAAAGTCAATCACTTATAATACGCAAATGTCTATACAAATTATTTTAAATTTTCAATTTTTTGCGTACCGCTGGCAGTTCATTTTGTTTCTGTTGATCATGCAAGTGAGCGCCAGCAATCTCCAGCATGTTTGGCAAGTAAGCGCGCGGGTATTGTAAAACAGGATGTGAATTGATTAAGACAAGACTTAGATTTTTTGTCAAATCTCTGTGATGTGGTAACGTTGTGTTGGCAAGCTGGCATAGCGCGTGAAAGTGTTTTGTATAGACGGCTTCTTGTGAGATAAGGTAGAAAAAGCTGAAGTTAACAAATAAACGAAAAATTTAATATTAGAATTTGGATTTGTAAGTCAATAGTACTCACTTGTAAGTCAACTTCTCAAACAAACCCATTAGCGTGTTTATGCTTCGTTGCCAAATACCCATGCGCTCCGAATAGGGTAGAAACATGCTGGGATCAAGTGCTGAACTTTGTGGATTACCTGTCATATGATTCAGCCAAGTATTTGCCCCATTTGGGCTGACTACAACAGTAGGTATTTGATAGAAATGTGCCAAGCTGTAATTGTAATAATTAAATTTGCATTATGCACTTGCACGTTTGTTTGTATAAATATGTTTCAATGTTTCTTACCCCAGCAGCGAGTCACTGAGAAAGAGATCAACCACTAACAGGTCAAATTTTTCGCCACTACGTACTAATTTTCGCACTTTCGCATCGCCTAATAACAAATCCACATTTGATGAACCAGCATACATTAGTTTCGTAAAGTGTTCCATAACGGTTTGTTGGCTTGATTGTTCTATATCAAATGGCAAACCCATATCCTCCCAATTTTCACACAATTCATCAATATGTATTTCCCTTATTTTTTGTTGCACTGGATACTCCTGAGCATGTGGACTAATTAAAGTCACCGAATAGTTGGGTTGTATGTCTACTATTTGTTGTAGTAACCGTTTACCGAACAGGTAATGTGACTTCCAAACGCTTGGTAGTACGGCTAATACATTTACACCCTTTACTAAATGCGGCAAAGCACTCAGCAGCGAAAGCAATGACACAGCGGTCACAAATTTCGCCATTAATTAGATTATTGGTGCTGGGTGATACGTTAATCTGTGCATAAGGTTGTTGCCGCCTGCTTGACCTTAGTACCTTTTACTATTCACTTGATAAAATTTTACAATCAGTGTTAAAAAGTATTGGTATATCTAAATTTTTAAAAATACAATACACACTGATACCAATGGATTTAAATACAAATGTGGATGTTGTTTATCAAGTTTTTGGCTGCTTGTGTGCACGTCCTGCTTGAATAAGAATTTTCACCAAATACTTTCGTTTTAGAACTAGAATTAGATATTTTATTTTTTTATTTTAATTTTTTTTTTTATTATGCTAATCTTTACAACTTCGCGTTGCTCTATTTCGCATTGAAATACTAACTCCGAACATTTTTTGTACTTTGTCACTACAATTCACTTTTAGCTGCATACAATTTAAATATATTTAAACCAAGAATATTCTCTTGATAAAAGAAAAGCATTCAGCTTTTATAATACAAACGGCAGTGTGTATTGAGAAAATGCGACGAAAGCAAGAATTGTACAATTTTGCATAAAAACAAACCAAATATAGACAACCGTCGACGGCGTCGCGTAAACAAACCAAATACAGAAAAGCCGAAAAGTCAAAAACAGCTGAGAGTGCTGCCATATTCAACAAAGCAGATGGAATGCCCAAAGGCGTGAATAATTTGAATAAGTTTTAAAAAACGATTATTATTAAAACAATGAATATTTACTTAGATGTTAATTTCAAGATTTCGCAGGATTTTTCTAAAATTTACGAATGTATTTTAAATTGCTATAATGGCATGAATTCGAGTGAACTGTTATTTTGTATCTATTAAATAGTAATGATATAATAAAGCAAGCGAAGGAATTCTTAAATGGTTTTCAAAACTATTTATTTGTAGTCAAAAGATAAATATACCGATGTGAAGACTACGTGCTCCGAAGGAAAGATAGATATTTGAGGTTTGGAGACTTCGTTTTAAGTAAAGATTATCAACAATTTTTAAAAGATAATTATCAACATCCCAACAACATTTTTGGAACTATATCAAATGTGATCAATTCTCTCAATGAATATTCATATATAAATGTGATATCGGAGTTAAGTTCAGTTCAGTGGGCTCTGCAACATATGTATATGTTGGTACGAAAAAACTGACAAACCTGCAAGCCAAAGTGGAATCAGTCTACTGACCAAAGTTTTAAGGAAGGAAAATAACAGATCAGTGAGGGATTCTCAGTGGCGGGACAAAGCAATTAAGCAGGTTAGGTTAGGTTGCAGTGGCTGCCGATCTGTCTGGTAGGATTCCCTTAAGTCTGATTTAGACCCATTGTTGTACCACTAACGGCTGCAAAGAAAATATAAGAGCTAAGAGAGGTGCATGCTCTTGTGAGACAGCGAACTCAAGTTATGAGTGACAAAATGAAGGCCAGGTATGACAAGGCGATGAACTCCGAAGGTTTCCAAAATGGAGATTTGGTGTTGCTGTACAATCCACAACGGAAGAGGGGTTTGTCCCCAAAACTTCAATGTAATTGGGAAGGTCCATACAAGGTAATCAAACGGCTAAATGACGTAGTGTATCGGATCCAAACCGTTGGGAGTACAAGAAACAAGATGAAAGTGGTCCACCTGGAGAGACTTGCTGAGTTTGGAACAGCGAATGTGTCTGATCGGGACGATCAGACTTAGGTGGAGGGCAGTGTTGCGAAAATGCGAGGCGAATGTCAGATGAAAGAGAGAAGCCGATAACTAGTACGTTCTAGAAACGATAAAACAAGAACCTTCCATAGCGAACAATTCGATGCTTCTACGCTTTCGTCTGCGAGCAGCCGACTGCTATATAAAGGCGACACTCAGCTGCAAGTCAAGTTAGTTACAAAGTGAGCTCGTTGGCGTTAACATCAGTAAAGTCGTAAAGTGAACGCGTTGGGAATTACATTTAAGTAGAGTAAATTGTGAAAGTTGATGCAAGTGATTGTAGCTAGTAAAGTGTCTTATAATTGAATTGTGAATTACGGAGTAAATAAAAGGACAATAGATAGAATCTTTATAACGAAAGAAACTGCAAATTAAGTTGGCGAGTTTTATTTAACAATCCAGAGATCGTACCCGAAGGATTTAGGAAATCATCGAGGTTGATTTAGTAAAATCGTAACAATATGATTCAGTCTATCCATTTATTGTAGAAAAAAACGCTTTACAATATTCTGGCAGCACTATTCGGGTATTGTTTGCAATTTTTCGAAGTTCGAATAGTCAGCTGTTTGCCATTGGCATGCGCTATAAACAAATAGTACAAAAAGTAAACAAACGGTTTGCCTATATTGCATGCAAATTATCTTCATCCATAGTACATTTTGCGACGCCAAAACGCGGTTGACTTTTGTATATTCAGGTTAGTTGGTGTTAAGTATATGCTGATATGATTAGCATTGCTTATTTAAGTGAAAAGCGAAATTTAATTGTGTGATAATTTAATAAATTATATAAGAATATAAATGCATATTTTGCCAAACGTGCATAGCTTTATGTATATGTATATAAATATTTGGCTTTTTGCCAAAATATATGCACGAAGTCTAATAAGAAAATTTGCCAAAGCTTATACATATATAAAAGCCAAAGTGACTGCAGCTCAATGTAGTTGTGTTATTATTGTTCTTTATGGCGATATGTATTTTTTAATTTGAATTTTTTACGCTTATATTCTTGCAATTTTTAGGTCAATACATCTTAATAGAATCAGCAACAGCAGTAGTGAGCGGTTAAAGGTGATTACGCAATTCCATAAAAGACTCTCCGGTTTTTGTTCAGTGTAAAATATTTTATAGCTAAGTAAATAATGGCACTACCTTTAGGTAAGTTTTTACATACACGCGCAACGTAACTCAATAATTAAATAAATATATATTGTTATCAAACAGCGCGTATTAACGTGGATGAGCCGCTGTATGATCTAAGCACCTTCTCCGGCCGTTTTCGCTACTTTGCATGGATGACAGATCCGCGTACGGTTATCGTTTCCAATGATCGCTTATTGCAAGCAAAAACTTTAGTAGAGAAATATCGTCTAGGCAAAGAACCAGAGAATACTACACAAGAACAAGTTAAATATGCGATGAAATTATACTCGTCTGCCTTTCATCCAGATACAGGAGAGCTGCAAAATGTTACGGGCCGTATGAGCTTCCAGGTAAATAAAAATTTCAAATCAATTAAGTCATAACTCATTTGTTACTTATTTTGCAAACGCTTATATTAAACTTTCTGCTCATAATCAAATGATTACATCGCTATAACAACAATAAACAACAAACCGACAGTCTCGTGCCTCAAATACAACCAACTCATTTTAGTTCCCGTCAATTTACTAACATTTTTTTTTTGTTCTATTACTCAATTAAAGCATTTAGATTTTATTTTGCTTGCCTTTACGCTGAAAAGTTTATAAAAATAAGCATTTACATATGTACATATGTATGTATGTACATTTGTGTGCTTATAAATAGTCGGCTGACTTGTTTATCGCTGCGCTCGTGCCATCAATGCGCTGTCAACGTTTCTGCAGCTGGGCATATGTGACGTATTTCATTTGGCTGCCAAAAATATTTATCGCGGTTTAGTCATTAATAAAAAAAAATTTATTATGTATGTATGTATGTATAGGCAAAATGCCATTGCTTTAAATTCGCTGATGGACGCCTCAAACACTGATAAGAATATGAATTTCTATTTGAAAATATTTGAGTATACAAATGTATACCCGTCCAAGCGTATACATTATGTACTTATATGTAATATATATATATATTTTTAATTATTTTGGTACTATATTCTTAATTAGGCGCAAATGTAGTGTCTATGTCGACTGTCTGTCTCGACTCCCTGCGGGTTAGGGGCTCAAGAATTTACCCGCGGTAAGGCATGCCTGTCGTAAGAGGCGACTAAAATCCAATAGTTCCAATATCCAATAGGACTGTCAATTCCGCAACATTCCCCCAAAGGAACTTTGGGGAATAATTTTGCGGTTACAACAACAACAACAACAACAACTGTCTGTCTCGTTTTGTTCGTTTAAAAATAGCTTAAATGTAAATTTTCAATTTCTTTATAAAAACGCGTAAATTATTTTGTGCTCTTTATGACATTTCTAGGTACCCGGCGGCATGCTTATAACCGGTGGCATGTTGGCCTTTTACCGCACTGTGCCCGCCGTTATACTCTGGCAATTCATTAATCAGTCATTCAATGCTGTAGTCAATTATACAAATCGTAATGCTAATTCACCGACTACTGTGACACAATTGGGCGTTGCATATGTATCGGCGACCACGTCGGCATTAGTAGCTGCGCTCGGCTGCAAAAGTTATTGGTCTAAGCGTGCAAGTCCACTCTTTCAGGTGGGTATTACTAAATTTTTCAATATTTTTTTTTTTTTATGAATATTTTTCCTTTCACCTCACAGCGTTTTGTACCCTTCGCTGCTGTTGCTGCTGCCAATTTTGTTAACATTCCGTTAATGCGTCAAAATGAAATTATTAATGGCATAGAATTGAAGGATGAGAATGGCAATGTGATTGGCCATAGTCGTTTGGCCGCCATAAAAGGTATTACGCAGGTTGTGCTCTCACGTATTACGATGGCAGCGCCTGGTATGCTGATATTGCCATTTATTATGCAACGTTTGGAGAAAATACCGGCTTATCGACGCATCCGTTGGATAGATGCGCCCTTCCAAACAGCTATGGTTGGTTGCTTGTAAGTTGTACTTGAAGTTGTAGCGTACGGGCTTTTAACACTAATTTCTAATTTACTTACAGCCTGCTCTTCATGGTGCCCACTGCTTGTGCTATATTCCCACAAAACTGGTAGCTTATGCATATATTTACTGCTTTATCTTAATTAATTTTAAATTTTATATTTCCTACAGTTCATTGAAGACGTCCACCATCAAACTCGTTGAGTCTGAGCAATATGCTAAAATAGAATCGAATACCAAAGGTCATGTCCCGGAGCGTGTATACTTTAATAAAGGCTTGTAAAATGTGTGCTGCACTATTTGTAAGTTTTATGCACAATAGACAATATAAAGTGAACGAAGTGCTTGCGCTTAGCGGAAAGCCTTCCGAGTCAATATACAACAGCATTTATATGAAACTCTATACAATAACTGGAAATCACTGCTGATACACTTGCCATAATTTGGCAAAACAATAAAAAAAATTTAAGAAAACACTGAAAATATATATATACGTATATAATTTTAAGCCAAAGTAACTGAGCATTTTGTAGTTGTGATTTAGTTTTAATTTTATGTTTTCCTGTCTATTGAATAATTTTAAAGTTTGATTGCATATTTTCTATGGCATTTCACTTTCAATTATAAATTTTTAGTGTATTTGTGTTATTATTATATTATACATTTTGTTTATTTACTACATCACTGTTCTTCGTTATTTGTCTTGACTTATAAGCGGCGGTTTGCATACTAAAGACGTAGAAGTTGACGTGTTTGAAACACGAGAAATTCTTCGTAGGCGGTATTTGTTGTGTATGTTTAACAGTATATCGATATATATATATATATATATAAATTTATACACATGCGTTCGTATTTATGCATTGCATATAATTGTATAAATTGTTAATAACAACATCTGGCATATTTCAATAACTACCGCATTTGTATTGTACGTTATTTGTGTGAGAAATTATGCAGTTTTATTGTATTAATGATACTTAAGAAAATAATAAAAAAATGAAAAGCAAACAATTAAATTTTTTTTTATTCGGATGATGAGTGTTAAATGGGGAAAAATATACATGCATGTAGGTATGTTGGTATGAACATTTTATTATTTTTCTCACTTTCTCTGCTTGATGTGACTCCACTTTCGTTTACTTAATATAAATATTAAGAAATCTAATTATAAGAATAAAAATTGATTACAAAAAAACGAAAAAAATAACCAAAACTACGCCAGCACCTCAAGCCTTCCGATCGTGCCACCAGCACAATTACTCACTATTAGCAGACCTCCTTCGCCAAATGGAGCTCCCCATAATACTCTACCGCGCTATCTTCAATCCACTTTCAGATCCAACCCCAATGTATAGGTCGCAGTTTCTGTTGTTCTTTTAGCGGCTTACCCAACCCCGTCTAGCAGCAAACGTGAAGAGTAAGAAACGAGCGAATTCGACTGGTTCGAATTAGAGCGAGTGGGGTGTTAGATGGAGTAGGTTTTAGTGGGCATGCAAAAGTGTGGTTAGTGTCGTGTGGTACCTCATGGCTTGGCGTTGTAATGTATGTCGATGTCAAGTCTGGATTGGTGTGAGTCCAGTCTACTTGTGCCAGTGCTACTTGAGTCTCACTTCTCCTAACGCACACTGTGTTGCGTGTGTCCGTTGGGCCGATGCGTTCGAGTCTGCGAAGAATTTAACGAGTGGTGACAGAAACACTACCCAATAATATACAGGCATAACTAAAAGGTCAAACGATGTTGAGCTCGAAGTACATTCCCCCTCTGTTACTCAAACGCAATAGATAGCGTTCCATACAACTGGTAAGTCTCTAATATGGCATTGAAAGGAGGCGATTCAATAACTGCTAAACGAACACAAGCGGTTTTTGCGCCACGATGTTTTTCCAACAAATGCAGGGACCTACAGTTTATACATAGCCGCCTCTGAACGGCAGATGGTTTGTTTTATGAAGAGCCTTTATTTTATGTCCGAAATACACTCGGAGGGGTGGACGTTCCCTGCCGAGGGACGACTGTAATTAATTTTTTATTTAAATTAATTTTCCATAACTTTTCGATGTCGGTGGCACCGGGATATGAACCCGAGCCTTCCAAATACCAGTACGCAATGCTAACCACTCGACTACCGCGGCCGCCAATACAAGATACGCGTAGGAATTTCATTCGATTATCGGGCATGATCGGATCCGAAGAAATAATGCGATCGATTTCAACTTTCACACTGCAAACCTTCGGTGGATGTAGATTAAATACAATAAAAATCTGCCGTCTGCTCAAACATACAAAAGTCAGTGCGTCCCTGAATTTCAACCGAGGAAATACGCAGTGGTTACAAAGAAAGCTAAGCACCGCATACCCAACAGCCCGGACAGAACAAACATAGTTTTGCTGCTAAAACATTTGCTAACAACGAAAGCGGACTACCTCACCAAAGGTCCGAAATTGTCACTTCATCACTCCACACAGTCAGCACAGTATGATAATCAGACGTTGACTGCTGCTTACCAAAGTATTGAGAAGGTGGACCTTCATTTTACTGAACGATCGACAATTCGTGGCAGAGTTTCGAGGTAAAGCGATCAAAACCGGAAAATTTAAAAGAGCGTTTTTCGCAGAGGATTTACTTCTTCTTATTATTATACCTCTAGAAGCTCCATCTCACCTGATGGAATTTTCTTGAACTCGTATGCTGTTGGCTTGGCGTCTAAGCCGCACCTTTTCACCATCTGGACCAAGAAGTATCGGCTAGAATTGCTTGCTAATGTTGATGATGTGAAAATACCAAGAATCAATGATCTAACGTTGCTGGGGCTGACATTTAAGTGCCTGAGCTCCTTCACTTCACAGACGGCCGTGATTGCCACTAAGGTGTAGAGTCACAATAAAATCTCCAAGTCGCTCGAGAAGCCTATTAAGGTCGTCAGTGCACGACTTTCACTCGGAGACGTCTATGCGCAGTAAAAAAAAACATTAGGTAATGATTTGAAGCCCACGATAATTTGGGCCAAAAATTCGTCAAGATACTACAAGATAGAGCATGAAATTTCGTATTCTATAGATTTGTATACTTATAAATATGGTCATCATATAACCAATTTGGTTTTGGGTCAAAAATCCTCCAATAATGCATCTAAGGGTTTGAAATTTTATATTATACACACGCATATGTGACAGAAACACTACCCAATAATATACAGGCATAACTAAAAGGTCAAACGATGTTGAGCTCGAAGTACATTCCCCCTCTGTTACTCAAACGCAATAGATAGCGTTCCATACAACTGGTAAGTCTCTAATATGGCATTGAAAGGAGGCGATTCAATAACTGCTAAACGAACACAAGCGGTTTTTGCGCCACGATGTTTTTCCAACAAATGCAGGGACCTACAGTTTATACATAGCCGCCTCTGAACGGCAGATGGTTTGTTTTATGAAGAGCCTTTATTTTATGTCAGAAATACACTCGGAGGGGTGGACATTCCCTGCCGAGGGGCGACCGCAATTAGAAAATTTAACTTAATTTTTTTATTTAAATTAATTTTCTATAACTTTTCGATGTCGGTGGCACCGGGATATGAACCCGAGCCTTCCAAATACCAGTACGCAATGCTAACCACTCGACTACCGCGGCCGCCAATACAAGATACGCGTAGGAATTTCATTCGATTATCGGGCATGATCGGATCCGAAGAAATAATGCGATCGATTTCAACTTTCACACTGCAAACCTTCGGTGGATGTAGATTAAATACAATAAAAATCTGCCGTCTGCTCAAACATACAAAAGTCAGTGCGTCCCTGAATTTCAACCGAGGAAATACGCAGTGGTTACAAAGAAAGCTAAGCACCGCATACCCAACAGCCCGGACAGAACAAACATAGTTTTGCTGCTAAAACATTTGCTAACAACGAAAGCGGACTACCTCACCAAAGGTCCGAAATTGTCACTTCATCACTCCACACAGTCAGCACAGTATGATAATCAGACGTTGACTGCTGCTTACCAAAGTATTGAGAAGGTGGACCTTCATTTTACTGAACGATCGACAATTCGTGGCAGAGTTTCGAGGTAAAGCGATCAAAACCGGAAAATTTAAAAGAGCGTTTTTCGCAGAGGATTTACTTCTTCTTATTATTATACCTCTAGAAGCTCCATCTCACCTGATGGAATTTTCTTGAACTCGTATGCTGTTGGCTTGGCGTCTAAGCCGCACCTTTTCACCATCTGGACCAAGAAGTATCGGCTAGAATTGCTTGCTAATGTTGATGATGTGAAAATACCAAGAATCAATGATCTAACGTTGCTGGGGCTGACATTTAAGTGCCTGAGCTCCTTCACTTCACAGACGGCCGTGATTGCCACTAAGGTGTAGAGTCACAATAAAATCTCCAAGTCGCTCAAGAAGCCTATTAATGTCGTCAGTGCACGACTTTCACTCGGAGACGTCTATGCGCTCGGTAAAAAAAAACATTAGGTAATGATTTAAAGCCCTCGAGAACACCTCCGCGAATGATTGCTTGAAACAAAATCACCTCCAAGGGGTATCAGGAGGAAATTACACGGACTCAATACAGCAATGCGTGAATGAACCGCTGGTAGGGCTGTGTTACATACAGAACTGCAAAGCCATTCACAGAGAGTCAGTTAAGACCTACTTCAACTCTTTTCCGGTGAGTTTGAGCTAAAATCCCAAGTGTTGCACAAAAATAACTGGAGGTATTCTGCAAGATCAAAGTAATTCTGTCGGTGTTTTTCATCTTAATTACTCCCGACTCCGTCATATTCAATGGTTTTTTTTTATCATGCAATGAATGCCTCTACCATTTTGCGTATCCTTTTAAATCGGCTTACTTAAAGACAGATCGCCTCTCTTTGGTCCGATAACGTAAGGGGTATGCCATATGATGAGCTGCACATTAGAGTTAAAAATTATCAAAATTGGCTGACCATAACATATAGCTCTCATATACAAATTTTTTTAAAAATGTTTCAAAAATGAGAATTTGGGCCAAAAATCCGTCCAGAAATTACATGAAATTTCGTAATCTATAGATATGTATTTTTAGAAATATTGACATCATATAACCAATTTGGTTTTGGGTCAAAAATCCTCCAATAATGCATCTAAGGGTTTGAAATTTTATATTATACACACGCATATACCTATAAATATTGACACCGAAAATCCTCGAAATCGGAGGAATATATCACGCAGCCACCATACAATCGAGGTTTTGGTTAAAAAAATCTGACAAAAATGCATCAAAGAGCATGAAAGGTACAAAGTCTTTGGCTCGACAGAGAAGTGCTCTTCTGTTCTCTTGTTTTTTTTTCTTTTTTTTTTTGGTTTTTTGAATATCCAAAAGTGATCGAAATTTGCTAAATATGTGGTATTCCAAAAATCTTCCTTTATTTTTTTCTTAAAACACATCACTTTCAAACTTTTTAAAATAATTTTT